TGGCCCCGATCCTCCGGAAAAACTGCTGATTGGCTGAACCTTGGTAGGGGGAGGGACTTTTGGGCACTCCAGGGCTTTATAAGGCAGTGGGCAAGTGACCAAGGAGCTTGCGAACAGGTGAGTGCTAACAGGGAGTTTAGAGAGGGAGTTGGGAAGGGTGTGAGGTTCTCTTGCCTTTCTTTTTAAATCCCTTCTCCAGGACAGAAGCGATGGATGGTGATAGGTCTGCTGTTGTTACCTGCACAACGTGTGCCATTTTTGTCTTCCTCCTGGAAGAAAGAACAGATTTCATCTGCACTAAGTGCAAGCCGGTCACCATTTTGGAAGAAAAAATTAGAGAAAAACGATGGGAGGCCCAAGTGTCGACCCTACGCTCGATCAGAGAGGACGAAGACTTCCTCGATAGAAGGCAGCATTTGATCCTTCAAGCACAGCAGGCGGAAGAGCCAGAGAGGGCAGTATAGGACCAGGAAGAGAACTGGCAGCATGTAACTTCTAGAAGAGGAAAAAGGCCAGCACGGGAATCCCTCAATGCTATAGAGGTAAGTAATCACTTCCAGGCTCTCTCCACAGGCTCTGCAGTGGTGAATGCTTTGGAAGGGACCTCACAAGGTAGTATAGAGGTGGAAGCAACAGAGGTGATGTTGTGGTTGGTGTGTACTACAGACCACCGGATCAGGTGGATGAGGTAGATGAGGCTTTCTTCAGACAATCTGGGAAGCAGTGATCATGAGATGGTAGATTTCAGGATTCTGACCAAAGGAAAAAAGGAGAGTAGCAAAATACACACCCTGGACTTCAGACAAGCAGACTTTGAATCCCTCAGAGAACTGACGGACAGGATCCCCTGGGATGCTAACATGAAGGAGAAAGGAGTCCAGGACAGCTGGCAGTATTTTAAAGAAGCCTTATTGAAGGCTCAGGAAGAAACCATCCTGATGTGCAATAAGAAAAGCAAATATGGTGGGCGACCAGATTGGTTTACTCAGGAAAACCAAATGCTGAGGGGGCTGGAGCACATGACCTATGAGCAGAGACGGCGGGATTTGGATTAGTTTAGTCTGCAGAAGAGAAGAGTGAGGGGGGATTTGAGAGCAGCCTTCAACTTCCTGAAGGGAGTTTCCAAAGAGGCTGGAGAGAGGCTGTTCATAGTGGTGGCAGAACAAGGAGCAATGCTCTCAAGTTACAGTGGGGGAGGTCTAGGTTGGATATTAGGAACATTTATTTCCCTAGGCGGGTGGGGAAGCACTGGGATGCGTTCCCTTGGGAGGTGGTGGAGTCTCCATCCCTAGAGGTTTTTAAGTCTCGTCTTGACAAAGCCCTGGGGGTATGTCTACACTACCACCCTAGTTCGAACTAGGGTGGTTAATGTAGGCAACCGAAGTTGCAAATGATGCCCAGGATTTAAATATCCCGGGCTTCATTTGCATCTTGCTGGGCGCCGCCATTTTTAAAGCCCCGCTAGTTCGGACTCCGTGCCCGTAGCTACACGCGGCACGGAGTAGGTAGTTCGGATTAGGCTCTCTATTCTGAACTACTGTTACTCCTCATGGAATGAGGTTCGAACTAGGGTGGTAGTGTAGACATACCCTGGCTGGGATGATTGAGTTGGGATTGGTCCTGCCTTGGGCAGGGGGCTGGACTTGATGACTCCTGAGGTCTCTTCCAGCTCTAGGATTTTATGACCCCACATCATGGGAAGTAGTCCTTCCTTTTGTTTGTTTTAAACCAGCTGCCTCTCAATTTAATAGCTTGACCCTTTGACTGGCCCTTAAGTGTGTTGAACACAGAGCTGCCCTCTCCTCTCACACTGAATTGTCCTGGGAGTGACTGCAGCTGGTTTTTCTGGTTCTCACATCTCCATGCTCTTGCTTTAGTCAACTCTGCCCCTCTTCAGCCCTCCTGAATTTGACCTTTCAGCTCCTTGTTAACATGCTGACCATCTGGTGCTGGAGTTTTCAGTCTCTCACTCACACAGAGGCCAGTTCATTTCTCAGCCCCCAGTTAGCCACAGCCCTCACTCGCTAAGCCCCCGGGAAAGCGCTAGGCACATGAGGCACGTGAACAATGTCTTGCCAGCCATCTCTCCTCCCAGTTGTCCCCCTTTCCCGCCAACGTCGCCCGCCAGCATCCAGGGGCCTGCAGGTACGGGGGTGGGAACAGGACTCCCCGCCCCCAGGGCCTGGCTGGGACCCTCCCATAGCGACAACCACTGCACAAGGTTGGGGGAGGGATGGGAGGTGTCAGAGCAGGGCAGTGATGATGGGGGGGGAGGGCAGAGCAAGAAAGAAGCAATGGGGTGGGGAGTCCACCCCGTGTCCCAAGAGCCGCCCTGGTTTCCCGTCCCTGCCATGGCAGCACAGAGGCTGAGACCCCCCCGTGGGAGGAGTGGGGGCCAGAAGCAGGGGAAGCAGGGGCTGGGGTAAGGAGATAATGGGGGAATTGGGGGCTCAGAGGGTTGGGGGTGGGAGGGTTAGTTTTTTTGCTTTGCACTTGTGTGGTCCCCAACGGATAGATTCCCACCCCGGCCACAAAGTTTCCCGTCCCTGCCATGGCAGCACAGAGGCTGAGACCCCCCCGTGGGAGGAGTGGGGGCCAGAAGCAGGGGAAGCAGGGGCTGGGGTAAGGAGATAATGGGGGAATTGGGGGCTCAGAGGGTTGGGGGTGGGAGGGTTAGTTTTTTTGCTTTGCACTTGTGTGGTCCCCAACGGATAGATTCCCACCCCGGCCACAAAGAAAACATTGAAACTTTGTGTGCCGGACAGAAATTCCTATTTGATGTGATTTAAAATGCAGTTTGATAGGCTAACACGAGAACGTTAAAACGCTTCATCTGTTTGAAATTAAACCGTTCTCCCCGCTGCAGCCCTAGCAAAATGGCTGCAGTGTAACCAGGTCATTAATGAAGAGTTCCCATTAGCGACTGATGGTCTGTGGCGTGGTTTGCACTGAGCCAGGTGGTCCATGGACCAAACCGTTTGAGACCCACTGTCCTAGAGCATGTGGGCAGCCCGGGCTGCGGCTCCAGGTGGGGAGAGGAAAACGCGTGGGGGGACCCCTTGCCCCAAAGCCATGTTGGCCCCTGAGCACCTTAGTCCCTGGAAGAAAGGTGAGGGCCCCACGGGACCTCTGCCCCCAGCAGGGCTGGCCACCCTGGGTCACCCACCCATCTCCGCCTCACCCATTTCCCTGACCCCCCGAGCCACTCTGACCCCAGCCCCTGCTGGTGATCCAGCATGGCACCCCCAGCATCAAGGCTTTGTGCCAATTCTGACTTGTGAGGAAGCGCGGGTGCGCTGGTCTTCCCCTCCCCAGAGTAAGAGCCAGACAGAGCCCAGGGCAGGAGACCAAGCGGGGGGCGCGGTGGAGAGAGCCCCCTCCCCTCCCGGGGAGAGGGGTAAATCTTGGTTCACCACTTTGGAAGGGTGGCCGACCCCTGCCCAGAGACAAAGCAGCTGCCACAGAGAGAATTCCAGCTCGCCTGATGACAGCAGGACAGACACCAAGTTACCAAGGAATCTTTATTCAGGGGCAGAGGAAGCAGCTGTATATACACGTACATTCAGTCCCATAGTTCACCTCTTGGAAAAAGGCCCCATGACCACATATTACATTAAACGCTCTCCAAGGGTGTGTCTACACCAGCCCCCTAGCGCGAACGACCGTTAAACCCCCTTGCAGGAGGAACTAGGGCTTTAATTTGAACTATCGGGTCCCTGCCGCGTGTAGCCGCGGGCAGTTAGTCCAGACTAGTGAAATTTCAAAATGGCTCCCAGACGGGAAGATGCAAATGAAGCCCGGGATATTTAAATCCTGGGCTTCATTTGCAACTTCGAATGCCTTCATTAGCCACCCTAGTTTGGACTAGGGGGCTAGTGTAGACGTACCCCCACTTATTAAAAAATCCCCAAAGAAAAAAATCCCCAAGCACTCTCCACAGTGGGTAATGGCTGTTAACACACCCGGCCCCATCCACAGGAATCTGTGTTTGCCCACAATGGTTAATAGGTTTCCCTCGCCCACCATTCTCCAATATTTGTACCAGCTCTCTCCAAGCTGAGATCTGCAAAGCAAGCCAAGGGATTTAGACACATGTTCCAGGTAAACGAAGGGAAGGAACTGTCTAATTCCTCTAGAATATCCTGAAATCCTCGATTCTCATGTGTCTAAATCTCTCAGGTCTCCCGTATTAGAGTGCCTGGACACAACCCCTTGCCCTTGTAAAATCTCCTGACAACTCTGGCAGCAGCCCTGGGGCAGGTGGGGGAAGTGGGAGGCCTACGTCCAATGGCAGCATTTCTTCCCAGGCTGAACATGGGGCTTCTGTGCTTCCCGAGGAGGGTTAATTTCGATCCAGCACAGCCCTGTGCTCTAGCTTCTCCTGCTCTCCCCATTTCAGAAGCCAGAGCAGACCCAGGACCACAGTCCAAAATCTCAGCCACCCAGAGCGCAACTTCTTCCACCTGAGCGCCACCTTCCTCTCTCCCTGCGGCTCTGCATGGCTGCGTGCCGGGGCAGAGACCTCCTCTTACCAGTGAGAGAGCTCTTGGGCAGCAAACAGCCAGCACATGCAGCTCACAGATGGCCAAGGAGAGTGTTGGGGGAGTGAAGCGTTGCACAGTCTGCGCTGGTATTAGCAAGGAGAAAGCGTGCACAGGAGTATTCAGGGTTCCAGTCTCACCACATTCACAATCTAACGTGTTCGAAAAGGAACAGCTGGTCAGTACAAGCGCTCGACCCATCGGCATGGAGACCTGCAGCTGCCCCCGCATGGTGGCTGATCTAGATGAACTCCCCCTCTCAGTGCAGTCCCCACACTGTGGTTCTGGTACCGTAGGGTCCCGCCGCGACACAGCAGAGAAGCGCTGTACCACGGGGCAGCGGGAAGGCTTCCGTACAACGAGAACCATAAGTAACAGTGAAGAGGCAGCATTGGACCAAGCTACGATCTCCACACGTCTGCTCCAGCGATGGGATCCCTCCAACGTAAGCTTCTTTGCTAGAGTCCGGCTGCCTCCACCGGCCATCACCAGGTGAAGGCCAGCGCCGCCCTGCAGAGCTAGTGTCGTGGGAGGAGAGTCTTGTGACCTGGCACTCTGCCTGTCCCTCTGTTAACACCAAGGGTCCCGCAAGGCCCGGCCACGGAAAAGGCTGTCGCTGCGCTGCCAGGCACTGTGGATCAGGCTCAAGGCATCCTCACATTTTTTCCTGACTGAGCCTTCGTGGATTTCCTTGCACCGGAGATCAACCTGGAACACATGCAAAGAGCAGTGAGTCACCGTGGCTGGGTGGCAGTGTAACCCTGTACCGCAGAGAGCGGTGGGTCACTGTGGCTGGGGGGCAGTGTAACACTGTACCGCAGAGAGCGGTGGGTCACTGTGGCTGGGGGGCAGTGTAACACTGTACCGCAGAGAGCGGTGGGTCACTGTGGCTGGGGGGCAGTGTAACACTGTACCGCAGAGAGCGGTGGGTCACTGTGGCTGGGGGGCAGTGTAACACTGTACCGCAGAGAGCGGTGGGTCACTGTGGCTGGGGGGCAGTGTAACACTGTACCGCAGAGAGCGGTGGGTCACTGTGGCTGGGGGGCAGTGTAACACTGTACCGCAGAGAGCGGTGGGTCACTGTGGCTGGGGGGCAGTGTAACACTGTACCGCAGAGAGCGGTGGGTCACTGTGGCTGGGGGGCAGTGTAACACTGTACCGCAGAGAGCGGTGGGTCACTGTGGCTGGGGGGCAGTGTAACACTGTACCGCAGAGAGCGGTGGGTCACTGTGGCTGGGGGGCAGTGTAACACTGTACCGCAGAGAGCGGTGGGTCACTGTGGCTGGGGGGCAGTGTAACACTGTACCGCAGAGAGCGGTGGGTCACTGTGGCTGGGGGGCAGTGTAACACTGTACCGCAGAGAGCGGTGGGTCACTGTGGCTGGGGGGCAGTGTAACACTGTACCGCAGAGAGCGGTGGGTCACTGTGGCTGGGGGGCAGTGTAACACTGTACCGCAGAGAGCGGTGGGTCACTGTGGCTGGGGGGCAGTGTAACACTGTACCGCAGAGAGCGGTGGGTCACTGTGGCTGGGGGGCAGTGTAACACTGTACCGCAGAGAGCGGTGGGTCACTGTGGCTGGGGGGCAGTGTAACACTGTACCGCAGAGAGCGGTGGGTCACTGTGGCTGGGGGGCAGTGTAACACTGTACCGCAGAGAGCGGTGGGTCACTGTGGCTGGGGGGCAGTGTAACACTGTACCGCAGAGAGCGGTGGGTCACTGTGGCTGGGGGGCAGTGTAACACTGTACCGCAGAGAGCGGTGGGTCACCGTGGCTGGGTGACAGTGTAACACTGCTAGGGTCTCTGTCAGGCCTAAGGAACCGCTGGGGTTACTGCCCGGGATGTGGGGTGCGCATGGCTGTTTGGGAACATACCCAGCCCCATTAAGTGCTTTACCTCTAAAGAGAATCCTGTGCCTGTGAGAATCAGGACAAGCAGCTCTGGCGGAGCTGGGAAGGGTTATGCCCAAGTTATCGTCCACCCTGTCCTGCCTGTTGCAGTCTTCACCCCCAAGACCTCTCGCTCCTGACTTGTGGCACTTGCTGCCATACCCATTCTGGGTCCCCATGGCTCTGCTGATAACCCTGAGTCCTGCCCCAAACCTGCACTGCTCCCTGGACCGAGCCTGTCTTGAGCAGAGTCTAGATCAGGGCTACTCAAGTTTGGAAGCCCCGGGGGCCACAATGATACTCACAGCACATGCCGAGGGCTGCAACTTGAGGATGGCTGCATATACATGCAAATGTATACGCAAATATATGCAAATAACTTATTTCACACTGACGGGCATGAATCAGCCATAAGCCGCAAAGTTGGACCCAAACGTGGCCAGTGTGAGCCAGTCAGCACTTCTCTGGCTCTGCCCACAAGGCTCAGCAGCCAGCACTTCCACAATGCCCCGGCCCCTCCTCCCTGGGGGCTGGCACCCTGCATCCGTCTGTTCCAGCCATCCTCTCCGCTGGCGTCTGTCAGTGCTCACCCCCCCGGGAGACACCTCGCCGTTGTGGGGCGTGTTCCCAGTGGGGCCATGTCCAGTGGATCCCACCCGCGGGCCGCGTGTTGAGCCCACGTAAACCCCAACTGCCCCGCGGGCTGTGTTCAAATGGGCCACGTGAGTAGCCCTGGTCTAGATGATGTACATTAGTGTCCAATTCCCACTGGTCCTAGGACACAAATTCCAGCTGGTTTGTCTCCAATGCAGGCAGTGAGCCACAGCCTCCCGTGAGAAAAGCCCTGGGACATCACCAGGTGTGTGTCTTGCCCACTGCCTCCAGGCACACCCCTCGGCTGCTGTGCCCCACGGCCCCAAATCCAACCTGCAGAAGGCAGGACTAGGGGCTGCCCAGCAGGCTAAGTGGAGCTTTGCTGCTCTTCAGCCCTGAGCATGGAGGCCAAGAGTCAGAACCCGACCCACCTGTAGGCAGATGCAGGCCAACCCTGCAAGGTCAGACGGGCCTCCTAAAGCACCTCAGGCGGCTCTCCCTGTGAACACGGAGCTGGCGCGGCCCGTTTACCTGGTAGATATTTCTCCAGACGGTGCCCAGTGCCAAGAGGAACCGCTCCAGTTCTGTAGTGCAACTAAAGTACAGGACCCAGGGGGGCAGGAACTGGTTGCGATCCTGAGCAAACTCCTAAAGAGCAAGAGAGAGGCACAGCGGTTACGTCCTAGAGCCGGCTCCCCTTCGGATGCATCAGGCTCCGGGCCGCCCACACTCACGATTATACAGTACTCCTTGCCAGCCTCCGTCGAGACAGCGGCGACGTCCGGCAGCTCCACGGTGGCCAGCGAGCGGAAGAAGCTCGTCTGGCAGTCCTCGTGGCAGGTGAAGGCCTTCTCCTCCGTTAGGACAAGGCAGCAGGGGATGCAGGTTGTGGGGACCCCACTGTGGGGGATAACCTGGGTGGGGGAGGAAGGCGATAAATCATTCGAAGCAGCCGTTCTCTGCTGCCCAGCCAGCCCCAGCGAGGTCTCGCCCCTGTGTGTGTCGGAGGAGACGGGTCCAGGCCACAGCTGGTGTGGCAGGTGAAGGCCTTCTCCTCCGTTAGGACAAGGCAGCAGGGGATGCAGGTTGTGGGGACCCCACTGTGGGGGATAACCTGGGTGGGGGAGGAAGGCGATAAATCATTCGAAGCAGCCGTTCTCTGCTGCCCAGCCAGCCCCAGCGAGGTCTCGCCCCTGTGTGTGTCGGAGGAGACGGGTCCAGGCCACAGCTGGTGTAAATCAGTGCAGCTTCGTTGGAGGCGCCCGACCTCCCCCAGCTGAGGCGCTGGCCCTTCTCCAAGCTCCTACTCAAGTGCCTCTGTAGCTGCAGACCCTGCACCAGGCCCTGCCTCACTCTGTCTTAACGATCCTCGAGAGCTGCCTCCAGGCGGCCCTTTGGTCCAGCCAGAGGTGCCCTGGAAATACAGGTGGGCTCTGAAGCCAGGGCAATTCTGCTGGTTGATTGGCCAGCTGCTTTCTTGCCCCAGGGGACTGAGCCCCACACCCACTCCTGAGCCTGGTCTCCTTCCCGGCAGGACAGTCACTGCCCCAAGTCCCTCGGCTGTCAGGCTGCATCCCAGATGGACACCGAGGCGCTATGGAAACGGGCCCTTCAGCATGTGGGGCTATGGACACAGCAGATTTCTCAGGGTTACAGGCTACAAAGCCAGAGTCACTTTAAATTGCTGGTGCCAAGGACCAAGCCCCACCCCAGCCCATTGTGGAGAGTGACCTCCTGCTTCGGGCTGATCGGCCACACAGAGGGGTGCCAGTGAACCCCAGGGAGGGGCCAGAGAGCCTGGCTGTGAGGCGGATGGGATCGTGGACAGAAGTTTGTGTCATTTGGAGAGGACGTGGGTGCTGACTGCAGCGAGCTAGGCGAGGTCCCAGTGGCTGGCAGGAAAACGGATCATGGCTTGGATGCCATGTGGCCCCGTGCAGCGCCCATGGGAGTGGCTCACCCCTTTGGAGACAGCCTGGCACAAGTACTGCATCCAGTCTGCCATCTCCTCCTCATTCTCAGCGCTGAGCTCCAGGGAGGGACGGTCGGTCAGGATCACCTGGAAGGAGTGGGGGCGATCTGTGGTGTTTGAGCGCCGGCACCCGCCACACTGCTCCCCCCTGACAGAATCAGAAAGAGGAGATCAGAGACCGAGGGACTCCTGGGAGAAAGCAAAGGCCGCAATGCACCCAGCGCATGGGCAGGCAGCTCCCAGAGGGGCAGCATGTGTCTCAGCGTCACCAGGTGGGACAGATGCTCCTCGCACAGGCCCCTCACTTTTCACCAACCTTCCTCGTGTGGGGTGATTCTGGGGCCCCGCTCCCATGCGCAGGAGAAGCCTGCACAGAATACCTCAATGACTTTCTTGGTATCTTAACTGACTGCTTCTTGGAGCAGCTCGTTCTGGAACCCACAAGGGGAGAGGCTAGTCTTGGTTTAGTCCTAAGTGGCACGGAGGAGCTGGTTCAAGAGGTAAAAATAACAGGACCGCTTGGAAATAGTGACTATAATGTAATAACATTTAATATCCCTGTAGTGGGAAAAACACGTTGGCAGCCCAACACTGTGGCATTTAATTTCAGAAAGGGGGGACTACCTGAAAATGGGGAAGTTAGTTAAACAGAAATTAAAAGGTCCAGTGACAAAAGTAAAATCCCTGCAAGCTGCATGGAAACTTTTCGAACACACCATCATAATAGCCCAACTTAAATGTATATCCCAAATAATAAACACAGTAAGAGAACCAAAACAAAAAAAATGTCATCTTGGCTTAACAACCATGTAAAAGAAGCCGTGAGAGATAAAAAGACATCTTTTAAAAAGTGGAAGTCAAATCCTAGTGAGGAAAATAGAAAGGAACATAAACGTTGTCAAATTAAATGTAAAAATGTAATAAGAAAAGCCAAAAAGGAGTTTGAAGACCAGCTAGCCAAAAACTCAAAGGGTACGTCTACATTGGCAAGATTTTGCGCAATCTTGCCACCTGTTTACACCGGCGGGGAGTTCTTCCGCAAGAACACTGACATTCTAAGGTAACAAATCAGTGCTTCTTGCGCAAGAACTATGATGCTCCCGCTCAGGAATAAGCCCTCTTGCGCAACTGTTCTTTTGCAAGAGGCCAGTGTAGACAGGCAACATGAATTTCTTGCGCAAGAAAATGTCTACACTGGCACGGATGCTCTTGCGCAAAAGCACATCTTTTGCGCAAAGGCACATGCCAGTGTAGAGGCTCTCTTACTCAAATACTCTAACGCAAAAACTCTTGTGTTAAAGAGTATTTGCGCAAAATCTTGCCAATATAGATGTAGCCAAAAAGTAATAGTGAAATGTTTTTTAAGTACATCAGAAGCAGGAAGCTGGCTAAACAACCAGTGGGGCCCTTGGACGGTCGAGATGCTAAAGGAGCACTCATAGACGATAAAGTCATAGCGGAGAAGCTAAATTAATGTTTTGCTTCAGTCTTCATGGCTGAGGATCCTGGGAAGATTCCCAAACCTGAGCCGTTCTTTTTAAGTGACAAATCTGAGGAATTGTCTCAGATCGAGGGGACAATTAGAGGACGTTTTGGAACAAACTGATAAACTTAGAAGTAACAAGTCACTGGGACCGGATGGCATTCACCCAAGAGTTCTGAAATTGTGGAACTATAAACTGTGGTTTGTAACCTATCCTTTAAATCAGCTTCTGTACCCAACAACTGGAAGATAGCTAATGTAAGGCCAATATCTAAAAAGGGCTTAAGAGGCGATCCTGGCAATTACAGACCAGTAAGTCTAACGTCAGTACCGGGCTAATTAGTTGAAACCATAGTGAAGCATAAAATTGTCAGACACACAGATGAATATAATTTGTTGGGGGAAAGTCAACATGGTTTCTGTAAAGGGAAATCATGTCTCACTAATCTGCTAGAGTTCTTTGAGGGGGGTCAACAAACATGTGGACAAGGGGGATCTAGTAGATATAGTGAACTTAGATTTCCAGAAAGCCTTTGACAAGGTCCCTCACCAAAGGCTCTTATGTAAATTAAGTTGTCATGGGTTAAGAGGGAAGGTCCTTTCATGGACTGAGAACTGGTTAAAAGACAGGAAACAAAGGGTAGGAATAAATGGTAAATTTTCAGAATGGAGAGGGGTAACTAGTGGTGTTCCCCAAGGGTCAGTCCTAGTGGGGGGAGAGGAGAGGAGAGGAGAGGAGAGGAGAGGGAGACCATGGATCATGCAGCAACCTGTGCATGTGCCGTGCCACCCCTGGGCACGTGGCCCCAGCTGGCTGCCACACAGGGGCCTTGGCCTGTTACCCACATGCGTGTATGTATGAGGGCACATGATGTACTCCTGACCCCGGGGTGGGACACTGCATGATGCCCTCCCTTCACAAGCCCTCTCTACACAGAGGCAGGGGACATCCCCCCTTCACGCTATATACAGCTCCCACTCTCGAGGATAGCAGGATATGCCGAACATGGCCTGTGTGCAAACACATCGGCTCCGATACTGCGGAGACCTGCCGTCCCCGCCATGCAGAAAGGGTTTGGGCTTCACCCACTGTGTCCCCAGGGAGAACTGACCACTTCTCTTGTTTCTCCACAGCTGCAGCAGCTGCAAATGCGGGGCACACCACCCTGCCCAGAACATCCTCCCGCACCCGGGCCAGCAGGCTGACCCATAACCAGAAGGAGTACCAGCGGCAGCACCCGGGGCTCCTGCGAGGCCAGCACCGCATCCTGGACTACTCCATGCATAGAATCATAGAATAATAGGACTGGAAGGGACCTCAAGAGGTCATCGAGTCCAGCCCCCCGCCCTCAAGGCAGGACCAAGCTCCACCTACACCATCCCTGACAGATGTCTATCTATGTTTTCAGCTTAGAAAAGAGGAGACTAAGGGGGGATATGACAGAGATCTATAAAATCATGACTGGTATGGAAAAAGTGAATAAGGAAAAGTTATTTACTTAGTCCCACAATATAAGGACTAGGGGTCACCAAATGAAATTAATAGGCAGCAGGTTTGAAACAAACAAAAGGAAGTTTTTCTTTACTCAGCGCATAGTCAACCTGTGGAACTCCTCGCTAGAGGATGCAGTGAAGGCTAGAACTTCAACAGGGTTCAAAAAAGAGCTAGATAGATTCATGGAGGTTGGGTCCATCAATGGCTATTAGCCAGGCTGGGTAGGAATGGTGTCCCTAGCCTCTGCTTCTCTGGAGGTGGGTGACGGGAGGGATCACGTGAAGAATACCTGTTGTGATCCCTCCCTCTGGGGCATCTGGTAAGACAGGACACTGAACAGTCTGACCCAGAATGGCCGTTCTTAGCCATGAGCCGTGACTGGCAGGTGTTTGGGGCTGCATGGCCATTGCTACACCGACGATTCTGAGCTCTGATCTAGGCCTGCTCGATGCCTGGCCAGCGCTGGGGCTGCCTGAGGACAAGCTGGCCGAGGCTCGGCCTGGAGTAGGTGGAGGCGATGATGCTTGGACGGGGGGTACCACTGCAGCACCTGTTGCCCAAAGCTCCCGATCCCAGGCTAATGCTAACCCTCCGGAAGCTCTTGGATGCCCAGCTGGCACAATGACACAGGCCTGCTTTGAGCTGTCTCCAGCGAGCTCACAGCCCGCAGCATTCCCTTGGGCACACCAGGCCTTTGCCCCTTCCAGTTGGGCTAGTGCAATCCCCTCTGGGCAGGGCTGCCTCTGCTGACGGCAAAGCCTCAGCTGGCCCAGCCTGCACTGGCTCAATGCTCCGTGAAAGAACCGCCTAGGACATCCACAGGCTCTGCTGTCAGCCTGGACCCTTGAGCAGCAGTGGCTCTCCCACCTGCTTCCAGGGGCAATCAGAGGTGTTGGGTCTAATGAATCTGGCTAGAAACCTGGCTCTGCACCATCCTGGGAGCAGTGAGCAGGTGAGTGGGGCTGGCAGAGAGCCCCTCGAGGGCTGCTGAGAGGCTGGGGAGCGGGGAGGTATTTCTATGGGAGGGTTCAAGCGCAGGGAACTCACTGCCTCTGGGTGCATCTCCAATGCAGTGTGATTTCGGGAGAACAGTGCGAGCGTCTGCACAGCCACTCCGGTCCTGGGAAACGATTTCAAAATACCGGGCGGCTCATTCCAAAACTTGCAAGCCGCATTCCACGAGGAACAACGCCTCTTCCAGAGGAGCTATCCCGGAACAGGCGTGTGGACGCGCCACGCTGCTATTTCGAAGTAGCAGCCCCCGATCCCGCACCCCTGGAGCAGCCAGAACGGTCTCTGCCAGCCCGTAGAGTAGAGGGGTTCTTGCTTCTCCAGGGTACAACACAACACAGACGTGACGTGGCCTAGGCCTCTAGACTCCCAACCCCCTGCATGGTTGCCCCGACTTGTCCCCCAACACTCCCTGCCTCTGTTCAGTCCCTGTCCTCAACAGGTAAGAACCGGTTGGGTCTTTGTCCACGTGACCGTAGGCAACTCAGGCGCCCCCCCGCTGGGCAGTGCTTACAGATACAGGCCAGGAGGGGTCCCCCACAGCCCAAACACGGGGTCAGCCACCAGGGCCTTGGCCACATACTCTCCTGTCAGAGGACTGCCTACTCCTGCCACGGCCAACCTGCTAATGGCTCCTCTGCGCCCTGAGCGATGCTACTGGAATGGTCTGAGTCCTAGGACCCCTTCTGTGCAGTAACCTCACTTCTTCACCCCTTCTCGTGAAGCAGGCAGCAGAGCTAATGGGAATACGGGCTGGGGCTCTCACAGATTTCACAGGCACCTGTCCAAATACTTAGGTCTAATGCGTCGAAAAGAATTCACACTCTATAATCGGGGAAATTGAGGCACAGACTAAGTGACTTGTTCAACGTTAAGAACATAAGAACAGCCAGACTGCGTCAGACCAAAGATCCTGCCCAGCGTCCTGTCTGCTGACAGTGGCCAATGCCAGGTGCCCCAGAAGCCTTAAGTGATTCATCCTGTCACCCATCTGCACCCTCTGGTAAACAGAGGCCAGGGACACCACTCCTTACCCAGCCTGGCTAATAGCCAGTGATGGACCTAACCTCCAGGAATGTATCTAGTTCTCTTTTAAACCCCCTTCACAACCTCCTCCGGCAAGGAGTTCCACAGGTTGACTGTGCGCCGTGTGAAGAAGAACTTCCTTTTATTTGTTTTAAACCTGCTGCCCATTAGTTTCATTTGGTGGCCCCTAGTTCTTCCATTGTGGGAACAAGTAAATAACTTTTCCTTATTCATTTTCTCCACACCGCTAATAATTTTATAGACCTCTATCCTATCCCCCCTTAATCTCCTCTTTTCTAAACTGAAAAGTCCTAGTCTCTTTAATCCAGTGGTAGCCAACCCGTCGATAGCGATCGACTGGTCGATTGGGAGGGCTCAATCAGTCGATCGCGAGGCATTCGTTCGGGGCCCCCCAATTCCCCCCACCCCCAAGAAGCCCCACTACCTACCTCCGAAAATGGAGGTAGTACCGGCTTCCTGCGGGGGGGAGGGGAGGCCGGGCCCCGCGGCA